GAAAAAAGTTATTCAAGTTACTTGAGATGGGCATGTTCGAATAATATCCCGAAATCTAATATCATTAATAACGGAAATACATTACTTGAGAATCGGTAAGATGTAAAACTTTTTTTTTTTTTAATGTTATTTGTAACAATAACACTGACAACTTTTCAAAATCATTGGGTAATAAATGAAAGTCAAGATATGTTTGTAGACATTGAGCTTGTTAAACGTGTCAAGGGTTTTGTAAACTCTACTATTGTTATGCAAGCAGAATTATTGTTAGATTCTTTTAACGACACATCTCTAAATCAACTGCTATTTGATAATAACTTCGTTAACTTTATATTTTATGATGATGAATTATCAAAACAAAATAAAAACATTATAACTTCGACAAATCTGCTTGATTCTGCTAGTGAACTCTATCAAGATGAAACTATCAATACAACCAACTTGATCGCATGTGTGTTTCATTCAAGTGCATTATATTTAATCGAGGAATATGCACTAAAAAATAAAAGAATGATAAATGCCAATGATTCTAATGATTCTTTTAATAGTATCGAAAAGTTTATTCAATTTATGATGAATAAAAATCTGGCAACAAAAACGATCATGATTTCGTACCAACCTCTTTTCAAATGGAAGGACCCGTTTCTAACTCTAAAAGAATACATGTCTCTCTTCAAATCATTATTCATCAGTACTATAGTCATCCAAAAAGATCCTCCATCGAGTCATCAATCAACGTCAATAACAACACGCTCATATGCTCGTATAGGTTTAATGGGCAATCCATCAGATGGTTTCAATGGAAAGACAATTTCTCTATTGATCTCTAATTTCTTTGCAGAAATTACTCTAATCCCCAACAAATTCACTCATACACAAGAATATTCTAAAATCGAATTTTTTCATTCCATGATAACCACAAAAAGTTCATTCTCAACTATTGAATCTTTATCAATATTATCTTCTACAGAAGGTTATACGAATGCTGATAGATTATTCCAAGCAGCTTGCAAAGTATTCTATAGGTATTGCAAAACTAATAACTTTGTACTCCATAAGCAAGGTTTTAGGCTATGTTATGAAACAAATATACCACGACAAGTTGGACTATCCGGATCTTCTGCTATAATTACTGCCTTATGGAAAGCGTTGATGAAATTTTATGGGATTGGGAATGATGATATTTCATTAGCAATGCAAGCAAAGTTGATACTTGACGTAGAACTTATTGAATTGGGAATTAATGCAGGATTACAAGATAGAGTCATACAGAGTTTTGGAGGTGTTATGTACATGGATTTTGAAAAAGAATTTATGGAGAGGAATGATGGGATCGGAAAATATATAAGAATACCAAGTGAATTAATACCTAAAGGATTGTGGATTGCTTACGAAGGGAATCCTAGTGATTCTGGTATGCCTACGTCAATTATTGATAATGAATTCTATATTATTATCATTCTTTAAATATTTATTATTATGTTTAAAATATTATTTTATAATTCGTTCAAATTTTTAGGTAAAATTCATAGTGATGTGAGAAAAAGATACGAAGCTGTGGATGAAAAGGTTCCCTTTTCATTCATAAATATTTATTAAAATATACATCATCAATCTTATTAATTCTTATTTACATAATTTTAGGTAGTAGATGCCATGATTAAATTTGCATCCTATGCTGAACAGACTTATCATCTTTTACTTGATTCTTCAACTACACAAATGACAAAACGTGTGAAATTAGCAAAATTAATGAATATGAATTTTAATTTGAGACAAGAGATATATGGAAGTAAAACACTTGGAAAAAATAATTTGAAAATGATCGAATTGGCTAGGAAATTTGGGTTTGCAGCCAAATTTACAGGGTCAGGTGGTACTATTGTTGGATTATGGGAAGATGAAAGTGATAAATATGTGATGCTTAATATAGAGAAATTGAAGAATGAGTTGCAAAAAGAAGGGTTTGTGTTTTGTTGGGTTAAGATTTGTGATGACAAGTATGATGAAGAATAATAATTTGTAAAGTGAGCAGAAAAGTATTTATTGGTATTTATCAAGATTTTCCTAAAATTTTAATTCCATAGTATGATTCTTTTATTAAATTTATTAAATTTTTAAAACATGGGTTAAAATTCTTCTGATCGAGATCAATCTTAAAAGTAGAAGCTATAGCACTGTCGAAGATTAGAAATTGTGACTAATATTATAAATAAACAAGAATCTTTGAACGTTAAATGTTTTAAAATATTGACTATAGCATTATTAAAAATAAATTGCGATTATTTAGGTTGTAATTAAATATAATGTCTAAGAAAGTAATGCAAATAAAAAGACTTGCTCAAACTTAATTTTGACTATAAGAATCGGTTTTTTCAAATTATACTAAACATGCTAATTTTTTTTGAATTATCGAAATACCAAATACAGAATGTGAAACCTTATTATTAAAAATA